AGCATATGGCTGAGGAAAACATCATGTTGTACAAGAGGCAAATGGAAGAGCTGCAGGAAAGGCTGAGGAAATGTCACGACCAACTGCAGCAAGGGAAACAGGCTGAAATGGACTATCACCAGAAGTGCAGGAGACTTGAGGAAGAATTGGAAGCGCAGAAACGCACAGTGGAGAGCTTGAAACAGAAAATGGATCTGCAGGGCAGGGAGAGTGAACACAGGTATCTTCTGTTCCAGAATGAAGTTCACCAAAATAGTAAGCTCCAAGATTCTGGATTTAAACTGAGCTGTGAGAGAAGAGGAAATGATTTCAATTACCTGAGTGACACTGCAGCTAAAGAATTTGAGCAGCTTCCCCCGCATGCAAAGCCAGGCTCACCTTTGTTGTGGCGGAAACAGGAGAGATCAGGTTTTAAATCTGATCAAACAGAAGAAAATACTTTGTATGTGAGCGCTGATGATACGATACCGAGAGAGGTGCAGTTCCAGGTGTCCAGCAGAAACCAATCACTAGAAGATTCAAGCTCACAATCTTTTACAGAGTTTGTTTCCCAAACGAGTACACAGTTCCAGATAACCTTTGATAAAGCAAGCCAAATCTCTGGAACATCTGAAAGGGACACAATGAGAAACAGGAACCTACACAGTTCCAGGCAAACTATCAGACATGGAGAAGACACAAAGCATGAATTAGGAGTGGTAAAACTGCATCCCTTGGAGGTACACACTACGTTTTGTGAGGGTTTGCCTTCCTAGTGCTGCTTTTTACTGTCAATTTGTTTGTTGGTTTTTAGTTATACTTTATCACTATTCTGTCTAATGTTTCTTACGTTCCTGCCTTGGTGAAGGGAACCCCTTCATTCTCATATTATGCAAAAAGCTTTTCCTTAGACCTTAGGTTTGTTAATAGCTAAGAAACATTGTTTAAGAGTTTGTGTTGGAAAGAGGAGTTTGCGTACACCATTGTATCATTATTGGTCAGAGTAACTTTGATTAACAACAGTAGGTTAGCAGTCAACAGTTACTGATGTTTAGTCTAGTCATACTTTATGAAATAAATACTTGAAATGGCAAATGCACATCAAGACTCAAGCTGTCTATGCTTCTCTGCTCTCCAATGCTAGTAGCAGTTCTCCTTTCTGACTTCCATTCAAGCTCTCCCTTTGGTTTATCTGGTGGTGGATTTAGGAGTGAATTATGTAGAGCATAGTGTGCAGTTGTATTTCTCACTGTGTCAAAAAATTCCTGTTTGCAGATAGTGAAGAACAAGCACTATGACATGCATGTTGAAGTCACAACATTAAACCAAGAAAATGACAAGACTTTTGGTAACGAAGAGAGAATGTTTGAGGGATACAAAACATCCGAAGGGTTTAGGAAAGAAGACTTTGCAAAGATGAGCTCTTTCTTAGGGGAAGAGACTTTGAGAACTGCTGATGATGCCACTCAGTTGGAATATTTTACAGAGGAATATGATACTATTAAATTTCAAGGTCTCCGACATGAGGTAACCGCGAGACAGTTGACCGAAGTGAAACTGTTAGACAGACTCACAGTTGAGCAGCTCATTTCAGGGCAGAAAACTATTGATGAGGTTCAGAAAAGTCTTGAAAAGTTTCTAACTAAACCTACAGCTATCGCTGGGCTGTACATTGAATCCAGCAAAGAGATTCTCTCTTTTGCTTCAGCAGCAAAGAAAAGAATCATAGGAAAGGCACTGGCACTAGCATTTTTAGAGGCCCAAGCAGCTACTGGTTTCATCATTGATCCCACAACAGGTCAGAAATTCTCTGTTGATGACTCGGTTGTTCGAGGGCTTGCAGATAGTGAATTCAAGAGTAGACTGCTAGAGGCAGAGAAAGCTGTTCTGGGTTATTGCTGCTCTGGGAAAGTGCTGTCTGTGTATCAGGCTGTGGAAGCTCGACTTTTAGAAAGGCAGAAAGGTAAAAATATCCTCGAGGCTCAGATTGCAAGTGGGGGGGTTATTGATCCTGTAAGAAGTGTTCGTGTTCCCCCAGAAATGGCTGTGCAGCTTGGCTTGCTTAACAACACAATTCTAAAGTTTCTGCATGAACCATCCAGCAATGCAAAATGTTTTCACAATCCAAATAACAAGAAAGCAATGTACTACTGTGATTTGCTGAAGATGTGTTTGTTCAGTGTAAGCAGTAAATGCTTTTTGCTTCCAGTTGGTGAGAGGAAAATAAGCAGCCCATCAGCAGAGAGAAGTCACAAGATTTCTGTAGTAGACATTGACACAGGAGCTGAAATGACTTCATATGAGGCTTATAAAAAAAATTGTATTGATAAAGCTACTTATCTCGAGCTTTCAAAGCAGGAATTTGATTGGAAGGAGTCCACATGTTTTGACTCCGATGGGAATTCTTTCCTTTTGCTCACAGATCTTAAAACTGGAGTGCAGTTTAATATCGAGGAGACCTTAAATCAGGATAGAATTGGCAGAGCATTAGTTAATAATTACAAGGAGGGTTTAATCACAGTTAATGAGTTTGGTGATATCTTAGTCAGCAGTTCCCAGCCAAGCAAAGATTTAAACAGTCCTATTGCAGGGTTCTGGCTCTCTGAAACCAATGAAAGAATTCCAGTCTTAAAAGCCTCACGCAAAAACTTGGTAGACAGAGTTACTGCTCTCCGATGTCTTGAAGCTCAGGTCAGTACAGGAGGTATAATTGATCCATTTACTGGCAAAAGGTACAGTGTTTCAGAAGCTTTGCAAAGGGAGTTAATCGATGATGGTTGTGCCAAGCAAATCCAGCAGTGTGAGCTGATCTTCACGGGGATCATTCATCCTGTGAGGAACACTGTCATGTCAGCAGTTGAAGCTGTGCATTTAAATGCCATAGACAAAGAGCTGGGCCTGCGTTGCCTGGAGTATCAGTACTTGACTGGTGGCCTGATAGATCCAAAGTCTCATTCCAGGTTAACAATGGAAGATGCAATTAAGAACGGGATTGTTGATGCTGTCACGGCTACAAAGATGAAGGATGAAAAGTTGCATGCTAAAGTTTTAACGTGCCCCAAAACAAAGAAGAAGATAACCTACAAGGAAGCTTTAGAGAGAGCTGTTTTTGATTGCCACACTGGGCTGAGGTTGTTAGAAGCAGCTCAGCCCATGAAAACAGGAATTTCCAGTCTTTACTATAATTCATAATGGGCAAAAGGTATTAGGACTCATTGTGGGCCTTGCTTTAAAACCCATTCAAGTTAAGGAAAAGATCCCTGATGGCCTTTATGGAAAATCATAAATGGCATTTTCTAGCATAATAATGAGTTGCTGTAAAACTATTAGAAGCCACTAATGAGTGCAAACAACTGAAACTGAAATTAGATATTAGTTACTGCAAAATTGAAATGTATAGGTAGGCAGATAGATAATTTCAAAATGCACTGTGTGTTCAGTCTGTACCTGAAGGCCTTGTCTGGCATTACCTACATATAGGTAGTGGAAATGTGAAATTCTACTGAGGCTGGTGAAGTTAACGTTAGTGCAAAGTGATTTAGGTGAGACAAGAATCAGAGTCTTACCCTAAGAGTTGGAAGGGATTGCCCATTTTGTGAGTGAACACAGTGCAGTATTTCATGTGACCTGTTAATTTAATGCTACAAATGAGTTTGCAGATAGCATTTACTTTACAAAAGTGGCAATAAAGTATACCTGGGTTAAATCTGCAGCCCACTAACCACAGATGCATACGTAATTTTTCTCACACTGGTATTTCGTTCATTTCAATATAAAGTTGCATGTCTGAGGTTTTTCTCTCACTCCAGGTAACTTTTTTTTTTTAAGAATTGTTTTCATTCTCTTAACAGGCAAATGAATGACAATTACATTTCGCATTTTTAAAAAAGCCATTCAAATAAAATGTCTTCATTTTTACTTGTGACACGTGGAGAGGCTTAAATATGTTCTTGCAGTATTGATAAATGTTCAACTACTAACAGGTTGTACTTAAATAAAAAGAAATGTATTTACCTGTGTAGAAACTGATTCAATGTCTCAGTATTTTACTTTTATTGGTCTTGTTTCCATAGACATAAAAGCAATGTATTCTTCCTAAATGTGATTTAGTAATCCATGTGCATAGATGGCAGATTCCTAGTATCCCGTGTTGGCTGTTCATATCACACCTGAGGGTAATGCAAAGGCAGCAATTCAAAGATTTTTTTATATGCAAATACTTTTTAGATTTTACCTGCTGAGTACTGGCTGGGGAGCTGTGCTTGTTCTTCCTATCAATCATTTTATAATGGTTGTATGTGTGTATGAATAAGCTCTTTTATCATAATTGCAAATCATGTGAGGAATGATTTTGTTAATATCCATAATTATGTGGTGTTTTTGGTCCTACATCAGTGTCATAGCAATGCATGTGGTGATAAATAAAAAGAAATCATTTTATGCTTATGTGATAAGAACAGCATTGTGGTAGAATTGTGTTTGTGTGGACGTTGATGTTACCTGTTTCAACAATTTGCATTCGCATGTTTTTTTGCAATTCGTGGCGCTCATCAGAAATCAATGGAAGAGGAAAAGAAGGAGCATGTTGAGAAAGCTGGGGATTTACTGAAATGGGTGTCAAACCTCAGCAAGACACTCAGCAAAGAAGAAGGAGAAAAGGCTGAAAAGACAGATTTGCCTAAGCAGCAGGTACACAGATGTCTTTAGTAAAACAACACTTCCTCCTTTTAGGTTTTCGCGATGATTAAAATGACAAAATAGTCCATAAATACTTTTTGCCCCCTACAATTCACCATCCACCATTTCCTCAAGACATAATTTCAGATTTCGTTGTGAGCAGAGGGTCAGGTAGATCATAGAAGCATAGAATTTTAGGGGTTGGAATGGACCTTACGGATCATCTAGTCCCAAGCCCTGCCCTGGGCAGGGACACCTCCCACCAGAGCAGGTTGCTCAAGGCTCATCCAACCTGGCTGTGAACACTGCCAGGGCTGGGGCAGCCACAGCCTCCCTGGGCAACCTGGGACAGTGTCTCACCACCCTCACAGAAAAAACTTCCTAGCATCTAACCTAAATTTCCCTTCTTTCAATTTGTACTCATTTCCCCTTGTCCTGTCCCTGCAGCTCCTAACACAGAGTCCCTTTCTAGCTTCCCTGGAGCCTCTTCAGATCCTGGAAGGTGCTATGAGGTCTCCACTCCATGTGATAAATAAATGACCCATCAGTGTTTAGGGTCACAAGCATGTTAGTCAGAAAGAAGCTTACTCTGCTTTTTACAGCCCTGTGACATATTCTCACACTGCAAAATGTCAGTTTGGAGAAACTTGTCCCTGCACACCATAACTCAGCCTTTGCAGAGGGACAGTGCATCCTGGCAGGATGGCACTTTGAGCACCAGGAAGGAGCAAGTTGGTAGGAGAGGCCTGAGGACCAGGTTTCTGTTTATTTGCTTTTGAAAATTTAATCTGGGGAGTCCTCTCAAGGAATAGTCAAAACTGCTGTCTTAGGGAGTACAGCAGCTGTTGAATGAGACCTCTTCATTATCACACTAGTGACACCTTTATATTTAGCAGACACATTGTCAGTCTGTACAGTTGTGACTCTGACCATAAATTTCCATCTGTGAAGTTCCCTGTAATTTCTAGCAGCTCCCCTGCCAGGTTTGTCCCGTGGAACAGCTTAGTGACACCTAACAAGATTTCAGTAGGTGATAGTTTACCTCCACACTAAGCAGCAGAGGCACAGAGCAGTGTCTTGTCCACATCCCTCAGTGCAGGGCTGGAAGTGTGGTCATGCAAACATGATTTTGGCTCTCCTGGCAGCCTGTTCTTGTCATTTTATTTTGGTGAGGCATTTTGGTGCTGGTTAGAGCTACTGGAGAAATCAAGCTTGGGCAGGTTGGCAATCCTGTTGTCTTGATGGCCACCAGTCCTAGCATGCTGGTTGTTCATAGAGGACCAGTACTAGTTCCTCTACAGGAGGAAGTAAGCTTGTATTGATTGGAACTTCTTGATTGGTCAATTGCTAAGAGTTAGGATCAGGATTTTCAAAATCATTCAGGGCTGGTCTTTTTCTGCCCTTTTTAATGACAACACTGCAAACCTTTTGTCAATGTTGGGCCAATGCTCAACTCCTTAGGGCATCTCAGCTTGCCACAGCAACTGTGGGTGTCATCTCCCCATCCAGCCTGAGCCCTCAGTGACTAACCTGTGAGTTAGCTGCCTTGACTTCCTCCAGGACAACCTCTCTTCTGGGGGGAGATGGGTGTTTGAAGAGGGTGTTGTGAAACAGCCCAGCGAGGTAACAGCACCTTTCAGAGGTGCCTGGGGTTGTGTCTCCACTGACTAGCAAATATGCCTTGACAAGTTGTGTAGGAACATGGAGAAACTGGTGATATGATAGCTAACGTTAGCTGAAATGCATTTCACTCAGAGGATCTGGGTTGCTGTGCAGTGTAGCCATGTACTGGGAGGAGAAGCTGGTGCCAGTAGTGACAGGGTGCACACAGCAGCTGCAGCAACTGGTTCCCTGAGGAAAGTGGCACTTACCACCCCAAGTGTTGCCTCAGACATCACCTTCTTTTGTAGGGCATAGAGTGCTTGTGCTCTTGGTTCCCCTAGAAGCAGCACAGATGGTGAGATGGTGGTGATTGCACCCTTTGATGCAGTGCACACAAGGACAGAATTGGTTGTGCCCAGGCCCAGGGTGAATGCAGGGCCCAAACACCTTGCTCAAGTTCTCTTAGCACCTACATTGAACATATCTCCATTTTGCTAACAAAGTTGCAGGCTCCCCTGTGATAGTTTGCCTTTATTTACCCCAAGTGAGTGCTTTCCTTTGAAGAGCCTGCAGCAAGTTCCTCAGAAAAGTTAGAAGTTTCAGTTCCCACAGTTCATCTGCCAGAAGGAGTGCTTTAGTGGGTATGACACAGAACTGATAGCAGGGAGAATATCAGTACAGAATTTCTCTTTTCCAGGTGTCTGGTATTGCATTTGATTCTGTCATTGAATTTCAGGAGGGCTTGTGGTCTTCTCATATTTTTAAACCAAATTGTTCTCTCTCATTTTGGTGAACAACTTCTTGAACATGACCATTGTGCACATACCTTTCTAAAGCTGCTATAAGCTGTGCCAGCTGGAATAAGTCCTTTTAAGTGATTGGTTGGTTTTAAAACAAATAATATTTTGAAACAAATTCTATTTGTTTCCCTTAATAGTTTTCTAAGTAGGAGAGATTTGTGTGTTATTAAAATACAGAGAGTATTGTTTTCATAAATACCTTACCAAAAGGCATACCACAATGGCTTATCCATATGTAAATGGTACAATTCCATAATAAATAATTTTACTCTAAGGATAGACAGTGCTTAAAAAAACCCCTCTAACTCATATCATTAAGATAGAAATACTGTGGTGTTTGGTTTTATTTATGTGCATAGTTATGTCTTAAACACAGGTTGTTTGTTTTTCAGATTTCCCTGCATGAAGTGTCAACCAAGAAAGAACAAATAGCAGAAGCTCTGCAGACTACTCAGTCATTTTTAGCTAAGCACAGTGACAAGTATGCCATTTGTTTATTTTTCAAATCATGGAAATTAATTGAATCAATACATGCTGTTGGCTTAAAAAGAAATAATATCCTCATATTACAGTTCCAATTGCATTTCATGGGCAAATACACCACTTTATATACTGAATCTGATGTGCTATGGTATGGAATATCCCTTTGGTCAGGTTGGGTCACCTGTCCCAGCTGTGTCTCCTCCCAACCTCCCATGCAGCCCCAACTCCCTTGCCATGTGGCAGTGTGGGAAGCAGCAAAGGCCTTGGCTCTGGGTCAGCTCTGCTCAGCAACAACAAACACATCTCTGCATTATCAGCCCTGTGCTCAGCACAAATCCTAAACACAGCCCCATACTAGCCACTGTGAGGAGAGTTAACTCTGCTTCAGCCCAAACCAGCACAATGTGAAGGTTCAATGCTTCTTTTCCTGAACAAGGCAGAGAAGAACAAGCAGATTGTAGCTTGCTTGAATACCCTTATAATTAGGCTATAATTTTTCCAGACTACTTTCACCAATTTCTGCTCTGTCTTTTTAAGTAAAGGTAGGCAGATCACTCCCAACAAGTTACAAATTACCCAAAGACATCTCCTCCTTCTATTATTTTTTTGTAATAGAATGACAGATGATGAGAGATGTGAAATGGAGAAGCAAGTGAGATCCCTCCAGGAGAGCTACAGCTTGTTGTCCAATGAAGCTTTGAAGCAGCTGCAGGAAGCACAGTATCTGAATGATGAAAAGATGGAAGAAAAGGTAACAAGACTGAAACTTAGATTTCAGTCTGTCTTGAGATTTACTGCATGGTTTTCAAGCCACACATGATCAGCAAAAGGAGAAGCTGCAATTAACAGTGTGTGGAAGGAGCTTGAGATTTAATTGACTGAAGGTGGTGAGATTTAATTGACTGAAGGTGGTGTGTATTTGCTATGAAATACTGTGTGTGACCTTACCTGTGCATATGAACATTCTATTCATCAGACTTTTTTTTGTAAGGAGTCTTAATAATGTGTGCCTTGCATGAAGCAGGATAAACAATCATTCATCTCTTAACTCTTCTCTTAAAAGTCATTCTTTGCTAGATAAGTCTGTGTTTCTGCTGCAAAAATGACACCATAAAATAACATGTTAATCTCTCCCATATATCACTCAGAAATGTCCTGGAAGAGATCTACTTTCAGTTGTTCTTAAAATATTTCTGGATTTGAAAATGGGATCACCTAATGTGTTTAACCTTGAGACACTACAAACATTTGTTAATGGATATTAGTCTTAAATATGAAGTTCTCAAAACTGACCTTGCAAACGAGTGTTCTCATACACACATAGAGGCAGAGTCTGTGTGATGAATTCAAATAATGATGCCAAACTGACTTCATGCTTTCCATGCAAACTAAATGCAATATTTGGTGCTGGAGTATCTGATTCCATACTGTTGAGTGTACCTAGAGAAGTGCTGTATGCTGTAAACATGAATAGCATGGTCGTGTTGAATCACATACTGTTTCCCAATATTCTAACCTTTCACAGACATTTATAGCATGAAAATTTGCCTTTCAGGTCAATGTCCTATTTGCTCATTCTGCAGTCATTTCTCCTACTGTCTTCCACTAACCCTATTATGTATGCAAAGCCTAGGTTTTCAATTCACAGATGCATGTTGATTTTAAATCTCTTATCACATCGTGTGCTGTTGAATGACTGACATAGATCACTTGCACATTTGAGCTCCTAACATTCACAGCCTTCCTCCAAGCCTGGTAAGTATGTGTTTTTCTGCTTATCATGCATTCAAAATCAGAGCAAAAATTGAAATGTACAGTCCAAGAATAGTCAGACCTTTTCTTTTATATTCCTTTTCAGGTGAATAAAGTCATTGCTGGTGTCATTGACCAAACAACTGGAGAAGTCCTTTCAGTCTTTCAGTCTATTTTAAGAGGTTTTCTTGACTATGACACTGGAATTAGATTGCTTGAGAATCAGCTGATTCTTTCTGGAATCATTTCTCCAGAATTAGGAGTGTGTTATGATTTGGAAGAAGCTAAATCTCATGCCTTAATTGATGAGCAGATTCTGTTGCAATTGCAGGAATTAAGTAATGCAAAGAAGCTTATTTCAAAGTCATCATTATCAAATATTCCAGTTGTCTCAGCTTTAGAACAAGGTCTCATTTCAGAGCCTTTGGCTATTAAAATTCTGGAGAATCAGCTTTCAAGTGAGTATCTGATTTTGCCATCTACTGGAGAAAAGCTGACTTTGCAGAATGCTTTCCAGAAAAACTTGATTTCTCCGATGCTCTATGCAAAACTCCTGGAAAGACGAGACACGTGTAAAGACCTCATAGACCCCAACTGTGCTGAGAAAATTTCCCTTGAGCAGATGGTTCATAGAAGCATAATACATGAAGAAACAGGGTTAAGGCTCCTACCTGTGAAGCCACAAGAGAAAGGTAGACTCACACTCAAATGTGGAAGGAGGATAACTGTTTTGAGGGCAGCCCACGAGGGGCTCATTGATCGGGAAACGATGTTCAGGCTGTTGGGGGCTCAGTTGACATCTGGAGGTATCATTGACCCTGACTCGGGGAAGAGAGTGACTGTGGAAGAGGCCATGAGACAAGGGATGATAGATCAGGACACTGCCTGTGGGATCCTCACACATCAGGTTCAGACTGGTGGAATCCTTTGTAAAGATTCAGGGCAACGCTTGACCGTGGATGAGGCTGTACAATGCAACTTAATATCATCCACCAGTGCCCTGCTGGTGTTGGAGGCACAGAAAGGCTTTGTGGGACTAATTTGGCCTGATACTGGTGAAATATTCCCTGTATCAACTTCTTTGCACCAAGATATGATAACAAAGGAACTGGCATTCAAAATACTGAATGATAGAAAGAAAATAGCTGCACTTTACATTCCAGAAACTTGTGAAATAATCAGTCTAGACAAGGCTGCAGAAGCAGGGATCATAGACAGCAATACTGTGTCTATTTTGACCAATGTGACTTTACCAGACAAAATGCCCAATGTAGAAGATTTAAAGCCCCTTTGTAAAAATGCTGCAAAATGGTTATCGACATTTGAATTTCTGCCATCTGCATTTCATGACCACGAGGAGGAACGTGAAGATTCCAGCACAGAAGACCCTGCATGTCGTAATTTAGATCAAGTTCAGAAACTATTCATATCTTATCTGATGGTAAATAGTTACATGGATGCAAACACTGGAGGAAGGCTTTTGTTATATGATGGACAACTGCAAGAAGTCATCAGTATGTTGCTGGAAGGTGATGGTGCTGCAAACAATGCTGGTGTGGCAGAAATGGAGTCTAGTAACAAACACGTAAGCTCAAAAGAAATTAGTCTAAAGTCAGCAGGCAGTGTTCAGGGGGATCTTTCAGGTGCTGAGAGTACTTGTAACAACAGGAAATTAAATCAGCTTGATGATTTTGGGAATTGCATGCCTTCACAAGAAGATCTCCATGTGTGCAGTCCAGATGTTTGCGGTGCTATTGGTATTGAGCAGTCAGGATATCCACAGGAGACTTTAACTATCCCTGCAGAACTTAGAAGTGTAGTAAGTAGCACTCAAAATTCCATGAACAGAAATGCACTCAGAGGTCTTTTGGGGGTTTCTGAGTGGGCAGAAGTGTGTAAACATAACTATCAGCAGGCAAATGCAGGAAGCATTGAAGGGTATCTTCCAAATGACTCAAATCCAAGTCTTATTTCAAAGACAGAGAAAGAAGAGATTTATATGGGAGACAGTCTGAGTAATGAAAACTGGAATGATAAAACCTTACAAAATTCCTGGAGTGTGAATGATTTGTCAGATAAGGAAACCTGGAGGGAGCTGGAAAGGTGTACAGAAAAAGGTCCTCACATATTGCAAGCTGACAGTAAGAAAATGGTATTGGATAACAGCAAGAGAGATGATTTTCAGAGAAGTCTTGGTTTAGCCATCAGTGCAGACACCGAATATGGACTTCCAGAACTGGTTAGTCACTGTGGTGACACAATACAGTTTGAAGACAATGGATACAATGAGCAACCTCTACAGGAATATGCTGACATAACTAACAGGCCATCCCTAGAGGACTATCTTTATATACATGGAAGGCCATCCTTGGAGGATTATACTGATTTTCAGAATAAACTGTGTCTAGAAGACAGCTCAGGCATGCCCCACAGGCCTTTCCTGGGTGGTGATATTCTTAGACATGATGGCCCACCTCTGGGGGACAGTAGCAGCACAGCAGAAATGCTGACAGTAGAAGAAAGTGGTCTTACCTTCTACAGGCTAGTGCCGTGTGACACGAGTTCTGACTCATCAGTAGATGGGAGTGATGACATCCC